CATTGAAGCAACTGCCATGTGATTGGTTGATTAGATAATTGCATTAATGAGAAATTGAACAGGTGTTCCTAATAATTCTTTAGGTGAGTGTAGATGGTCACTTTCAGAGGGGGAGGACTGGAGGACTGAACCACATGTCGGCCTGGCAGTCCTGAGTTGTTTTGTTGTGTGATGTATACCAGTGCATATTCCCCAACCTGATCTGTTGGTTGAATTCACAGATGCGTAACCTGTGGATACGAAGGGCCGACTGTGTATCCTTTAATAAGGCTTCTAGCTTAGGTTTTGGTTTGACTCAGTCAATAATTATGTACTAGGACTGATTCACATAAGTAATGTTGAGTTTCTCTTAAAATAATGATCTTCATTAAAAAACTCTAGAAGTATTCTTTATTCTAATTTAGTATGCAGAAAATTACTTGTTTTGATTCATGATAAATCCAATTGCTTCGTAAGATATTATTAGGTAGAAACATTATTATACTCTTGGTGCTGTAGAGGATCTCTCTGCCATAGTTCTGGCTAAACAGTCTGCAGAGACCCAGCCTTAAAATAACAGGTCCTCAGACGATGGGAATCCCCTTGTGATGTACCTGAAAGACTGTAATTCACATCTCTGTACTGAGTGAGCAGAATAGCAGAATATGGAATACATTCCTTCTTAATTTAATCTTGGTATGTTTTCTATTCTTTGTTAGTCCTATCATCCTGCCAGTGCTCACATCCATTAACACTTCAGTTCTAAAAAAAAAATAAACAGGAATATTTTTAAAAAGCAATTGTTGGATTGGTGGATCTTGTACGAAATTGTACGGCAATGTCAAATTCAAAATCTATAAAAGCTGTGTAAGTCCATAACTGTTGAAAAAAGTTGTGGCTGTTTGACAAACTAGCCAGAAGCACTGTAATTGGGCTGTGGTGTACTCATTCAAAAATATAAATGGAAAACATAACTTGCTAACTGACTGCATGCTTTCAGGAGCAACAAGCTCTTAGAAACTTCTGGGTTACACTATACTTTGTTTAAGATCTTCCACAAGTATGAAACCAAAATTTGGATGAATCCCAGTAATGTAAATGAAAGTTAATATTGCATTCTGTATTTTTTCACAAAAAATGATATTGACAGGTTATCTTCTCCTGTGTTGAAAGAAGAAAGTAAACTTCAATTATGTGTTTCCTAATACATAGATGACAAACATCCCAGAAGGTATGCTGTGACTGTGCTCTCCCTCACTGGTTACAAAGGCGAGAAGATCTGGGCTGCCTCTGATGACATTCAGCTTTTGGGAGACATTTGTGAGGCAGAGGAAAGTTCAATGCATTATCTGTGGCATTTTGTGATACGGCGAAGGACTTTATGAATGGTGTGTTCGGCATTTTGTGGAATTGAAATTCTCATCTCTCTAATGCTTCAAGCCCTCCCAACCCAATAAGTTGTAGACGTTATTTGGCAAAGTTGAACTGGTTTACTCACTCATCATCTCCTACTTCATATCTTGATGCTGCAAGTGCTTCCTGCCTGAAGGCGGATTGTTAATGCCATGCAAATCCCAAATAGCTGGCTGGCAGGAGACGGTAGAGGAAATGGGTTCCTCATTACACCGTTCCTTACAAACCTAAAGAAACTACGGCGCATGCATAAATACTATACAGTCATGTATATCATCAAATATAGCTACACAATTTTTTTTCATTTATAAATGAAACTGTTCATCTAATTAAAAATTTAAGACAAATCTCATGGGGGGAAATTTGTATGAGCTGTTGCTATTTAATTTCAGATATTTACCATGCCCAGTTTTTTATTCTATGGCTTGAAATATTTCACATAAAATCTGATATTGCATTTCATCCAAGGGGGTACCACAGCCTTTTGCCCTATGCTGCCTGGGACAGGCTCCAGCTCTCCTCATAACCATAAATCTAACCCTGACCAGGATAAGCGTTTAGAAGACGGATGGATGGAATTTGATATTGTTGATGCTGTACTTAACTGCAAAAAAAAAACAAGATTTCTTCTTGTGTTTCTTCTTTGTGACTGACATAGGTAGATGATTACTTGTTGCTATTTTGGGGTGACAGGTTGGCAACAGTTGCTACATTGGAAATTTCAAGAAAAAGACTTTAAAGAAATGTCTATGCTAAAAGCTGGGGTCAGGCAAATCTAAGGGTGGACAATATGGCATGACCACATTATTCAAGCTACAAGTTACAATATTTTGCCAACATATGTGAATTTACTTTAAGAAGTGACATAACAAAAAACAGGAAAAACATATGAGAATACAAACTAAATTACTGAACTCTAACTGAATTTGTTACGCTGGATTTAAGTATAATTAAACATTTTGCTTTATCCTCCATTCATTGCCTCTACACCATAGAGGTAGATACTGTGAAAACTAACTGTGAATAGCAGAATAAGGCAGCAAATATTTATTCTTATATTGTCAGTTTATGTTGCTTTTAATTCTACATGAAGTTAAATATTTTAGTTTTATGTTCCATTAACAGCTTGAAAGAGAATGGTATGATTTTAAATTGACGAGGCTGGTGGAGAATCAAATAAGCTTTTCTGTCAGCACACATCAAACAGGTGCAAATTCAGGCTGCTGCCATAGGTGTCAAAATGACGGGTGAAATACAATAACCAGACAAAGCCACTATTCATGCAATAATTCATAAATACTGTCAAATATTCATTACATAGATATTGCTGCTGGTGTAATGTGCTATATGCTTTTCTGTAAATAGGGCTTCATAGGGAATAGGATATTTATTGAAGATACACTGTCCTTTACAGTGGAATTCGGGTAGGGTGGCCACGGGACAGACATGACACAAAATATGTAAGTAAAAATGACAAGACAACCAGTGTTTCTGTGAAAACCAAACAGATGGGGCAAAAAAGCTCCATCATGCGAGGGTACATGGGCACTTGTGAGGCTACCCGGCCACTTCCCCCAGGTTAATAGACCAATTTATACACGAGACAGGTGAAATTAATCAGCTCGCCAAACCCTAATCACCTGACTCTCCCTCCCACACCCCCTTCTACAATGTCCTTCCCACTGGCTATAAGAGTCAGTTTTGTCCTAAGATGGGAAATAAGATTGTTATCTCGGTTGTGCCACCTCAGCTACCTGTGGTGAGCAGGTCTACAGGATAAACTGGCCTGCATTTGCGGACTGAACGACCAGACTTTGTCTCTTCTGTGGCAGCACCTGCTCACAGGTACCTGCAGGACCATGACTGAAATCATGCCAATAGCCTTCATTTTGACCAGTAGACACTACAACACAGAGTATATGCAAGGTGGTAACCGTCAGTGTGTAAATGCGAGGAGGTATATCCTAGCTTTCACCTCTGAAGAGCTCCCTCACATGCCATAGCAGTCTGACAGATATGGAGCACTTTTGCAAGGTAGAGTGGGCAAATATTGCCAAACCAAGATGTGGCATGCTAACAGACTCCTACTCAAAAAAGACTGAATGCTGTAATTAAATCTAAAGGTGCATCAACAAAGCATCAGTTTAAGGGTGTGCACTCTTATGAAATCAGCTTATCATAAGTCCCCCCCCCCAACATATTTGTTTGTTTTTCAATTGAATCGTACAGGTTATAGATCACATTAATGGTCAGAAAAGTTTAGAAATTATTTATTCTAGTATCATTTTTTTACATCACAAAACCTAGCATTTTCACAGGGGTGTGTACATTTTTATATCCACTGTATTTCTAAATATCTGTTAGATATTTACCCTTTCATCATGCTATAGTCACTATTTAGGAAAGATACAGTTGAAGGAATACCTTAGCACTCAGTGACATATGTTATAATTAGATTGCAGTATCAAATTTAAGTTAATCCATCCATCCATTTTCTGAAACCGCTTGTCCTATTCAGGGTCACCAGGGGTGCGGAGCCTATGGGTGTAAGGCAGGGAACAACCCAGGGTGGAAGTCAATCCATTGCAGAGCTTAAAATTAATCAAATATTAGAAATACAGTGGTACCTCAGAACTCGAATTTAATCCGTTCAGAACTCCGGATCGAATCCTAAAAATTTCGAGTTGTGATCGAATTTTCCCCATAAGAAATAATGGAAACCCAATTAATTGGTTCCCGGCCCCAAAAAATTACACCTAAATATGTTTTTTTAGCATTTAAACACAAAATGAACCGGATAAAACAAGAAGAGCATGTACTGTAGGCTACTAAACACATCTAAGCACATTTATCAAAACAGTAATTTGTAAAGTAAGAAAATAAATGTATCCAAACAATGTGTAAAGTTAAAAAAACAATGTGTCCTGCCCCGATCGTCCGCTCCTTCCGGGTGCCACACCCCCTCGTTAACCCCGTGTGGAATCCCCGTGTCATCAGCTGTTTCTGGTTGTTGTCATTAGTCCTCTGTATTTTGTCTGCGTTTCAGTTTGTTTCCCCAGTCCGATCATTGTATTGTCCGTCTGCATTTTGCCTGCCTTACCTGTAATTAAACCCAGTATTCCCCGATACCCTGACGTCTGCGCCTTTGTCTCCGTTCCGTCCCAGCTCAGCTAGACAATATTATTATAATTAAATGTATTAATGGTTTATTATTAATATTAAAATAATTAATAAGAAATCTTTTTTAAATGTATTTTATTATATAATAATTACTGTTACTGTCTATCATTGTCTAAATGTATTTTTACTGTCTAAATATATGTATTCAGCTAGTGTAAACATGCACGATGCTATCACAGCGAACGCAAGGCTGAGACTGAAGCATTTCCTTTTGTTTCCGCTGAGAGACATGCGTACAAGTTATCTTAGGTCGGCGTTCACGGTTTGACTTCTGAAATTCAGATCGAGCACTAGGTATTTTTTTTTCAAACTGGTTGGTTCGACTTTTAAGAAATTCGAGTTCTAATGAGTTCGAGAACTGAGGTACCACTGTATAGAAATTAGGGACAAATAAAGTACCAGCATGCTTAAAGGAACTCATCCTTTTTTATATTATACTTCAGCAACCAAAAGTATGCTGATAAAGATGGGTAAGGCTGGGTAACTTAATAGGGGAAAGGGGTGAGTCAGTAAAATAGTAAAAAAGGAAACTGAGAAATAGTCTATCATACTATGTAAAAAACAGCATCCAATAAACATAATTATTAAATAACCAAGCTTTTTCCAAATAAGACAAACCATAGTATTTTCACAGCATGCCATTTGTTACATTTCTGTCCACTCATTCATACTACGTATCCAGTACAGGTTCACAGTGAGTCTGCAGCTTGTTTCTGGGAAGCCAGGAATAAGAGTATTTTTTCATAATTTTCTTGAGAATGGTTATATTAAAAAATACAAATACCTAGTGCAAATAAATGCCTTGAATGCATTCAAACCAAAGTGTAACTTTCAAATTCAGTAGGACTTTGAGTTCTGTAAAGAAGGTTGCTCAGATGGGATTGTTTTTGTTGATGCTTTCTCTGTTATAGGCAACTACAAACCAGTCAATAAGCATCAGCTTCCCAATGAGCAAGCAGACAAGAATCCCAGTGATACACAACTTCTGCATCTCAAGCGTTGTTAGCCTTGAGCAGACAGGGCAGGTCTGCCTTAATCCCATAGTCACATCAATGGACAGGGGGCTTCATGATATCTTTCGGTAACACATTTCATCATTTATTATTTAATCCTTGTGCAATTATGCTGGAGCAGAATGGCATAATGCTTGACTAGTCGTGACACCCAGTCAAAACACATTTTCAGCAGAGTCGCTGACCTTGTCCATTGATCTCCATGTCACTGTGGGGGAAGAGGATATCAGAAGGATGGCTATGTTCTGGAACATAAATTCCGCTGAGTGTTTAAAACAGTGCTGGAGGGAGAAGCATGGCACGAAGAGTTTAAATGGATGGTGAAGGACTAATCATTGCCATTTTATTCCTGGAGACAGAACGAATGTCTTTCATACACCGTGAAAACGGTCCATGTTTTTTTTTCTTGTGCATTGTGATGTACATATATGTTTAACAGACCACCTACTTCATTAAGGTTATAACAAACACTGGAAGCAGGAAAAATGTAAAATATCCCAGAGCTGTAGCATAAAATGAAAGATCACATGAACTCCAAGTACAGTCTCATTCTAGCAAGACCGACCAGCAGCTAAAACACCAGGGTGCACCTTACCAGTAGACATACTGTAATATCAGCGTCTTTGTCCATTCCCAAGTTACCTTCTAATTCTTATCATACATATTATGCTAATATTTGATGTAAATGCTAATCGATAATCTTCCATCCAGTGAAGTTTATCTCCTAGTACAGGGGTTCTTCACTGGTTAAGCCCTTTACGGGCCACATGATTCCTTGGTCAGTAAGTCACAACCCAAATTCACAATAAAAAGTGTGGAAAGGGGACAAAGCAGACATTGCCAAAGCTGCTCTGGGTTCCTCCCTCTGAACTGCAGGACACTGACCTCGCATTTTATTGCAATGTAAAGCAGACACATCAACAACTACTGTACAGCTGGCCCAAATCAACACAAAGATTCACAGTAAATCCTGCTGCTTTGCAGCAAGCTCCATTTACCTGCTTCCTCCAAAAAACCAACATCTGGCCCAAAGAAGCAAGAGAGAAGACAGGAGCAGATGCCTCATGCTTATGTTGATCCTTTTTTAAACTCGGTTTCAATGACAGATTCTCATGGTTATTTCTGTCTCTCCATATAACTGCCACCATTGGTCCAGCTAACCTTACATTGAAAAGATCTCTCCTTCTGACTACAGTAGCAGTTTGTCTTGGACTGGAAATATTTTGTGTCCCTTGCAATATTTGTCCTATTCTGAAAGCACAGATATAGAATGCAGTCTGCTGTCCAATGTACTGCATAATGGCCTTAGCATATTTCAGATTTTCCTGCTACCAGATAATATTGATGATGTCAGGATGAATACCATTACAATTTTCCTGTCAGCAATATTTCATTCTCAGAACTTTCTGTAGCTACACTGCCTTTTAGCCTGAAAATTTCCAAAAATTGGAAAATTTTAAGCCAATAAAACAGCTTGATGCGAAAAATTCATATATTGTGTTACCTGCTAACAATGGATGATGTCATGCAATATCCAATAATTTATCATTATATAAACATATTTTTCCTAGTGCCTATACAAACAACCCAAATTATAGTGAACTGATTTTCATGATACCCAGTGTTGCTGCTGGGGTGGCTATAGAATCATGCCTCTGATATATTTTTAATATTATTAATTATATAGTAATTAGGATCATATTTTTAAAGTGAGAAAGTAGAATTTCCCAGGTTGCCAATATCCACCCCAACCCAATAAATATTTTCCTTCTTTTGCAAAAGACCATAAGAAATACAGGATGATAAATGGTTTAAGTCTGAAAATGAAATGTAGTGCAGTTATGATAAAGAGTTATTCAATTGCTATTCATTTACGAATTAGTATGCATCTTTTTCAAAGTATTTAACCAAAGATGATAAACGTCTAAGCACTGATTTTCCAACCACACTGGATTTCAGAGAACTATAATCAACAAGCATATCGTAAAAGGAACCTCTTAAACAATAGCCTGTTTTCATTCCTTGTGGTAAATGTTAATATGTGAATCACACGTTTTGAATAACATACAATAACATTATTGTAACATACATACATAACAGTAAATCTGACAGAAAAATGCTACTAATTTACATTTCTTCTAATGAATGGAATTAGCGCCAACAAATGTTTCTTCTTCAGAAATATTTGCATTACATTATTATTCACCCTGTATGCCATTAAGGGGCGTCTGTTACATTTATTTTTTTTTTAAAAACGACGTAGGGCTTGTTGAATACTTTATTGGAAATCATGAATTAAGATTCCTGTATTATGAGCTATGTATGATATGTACGGTGTGTGCATTTGTGTGTGTCTATACGCACACACACACACACATATATATATATAATTTTTTATTTTATTTTATTTATTTATTTTTTTCTTCCACTGGTACATATTGCATTGCATCAGTGCTGAGGTCTTGCTCAGGTTTTTAATCTCACGGATTTGCCTTACACCTATTTCAGCTGGTGGGGTGGACATAATGTGCTCTAATATTTACCTTATGGATGTTGGTAGTCTCAAACGCTGACATGTTCGGTCCGCATACGCCGCAGATCAACACCTAGCACCCTGCTGTATTGTGAAGGTTAACAGAACCCGCGTCTCCGTGCGCCGACTCGCTTCGAGAGGGTCTCAAGGTTGGAGCTAAAGGCCGGTAGGTGGCCGACTCGCTTCGTCTCTGTAGAAACAGCTGCGGATTAAACGGTAGGTGTGCGGTGCGCGCACACACACGCGCGGACACACACGCGCACACACAATCACGCACAACTGACTCCCCCTCCCCCCGTTAAGATTTCAAACAACAGAAAATGTAGCAGCAAACAAAAAAAGGATAGCTTGGAAATAGGTCATTTTCCCATCACAGAAGCGACTGAGAAACGGTGCGGTGAGAGAACACATCGAGACAGACCACCAACACATGTATGCGCTAAACACAGCCGCTCCGTACGTCGAGGGAATAATTTTGAAATATTTCTTGCTTTAACGTCTACCTGCAAGCCCGAAGAGACCCACCAGTTGTTTCGGATACAGTCGCGGATTACAAACCGGCGATCTTAAAAGCTCATGAGATACGACTGAAAAAAGCGGGTACCTTTCTTGTGGATGTGCGACGTGTATCATTGCTTGGCTTAGATGCGATGTACGCAGGAACTGACTTATCCAGGTGGTTTTCAGCATTGCAAATCTAAATGTTTCAGTTTTATCCGCAGCTGAATGCAGGTGTATTCTCAGCATTATTGGCATTACTAAAGCCGCCGGGGGAAGCAAAAGAAAATATTTATGGATTTCATAATATTCTTTCCTAACACTGCATGGATTGCTCGGTATATACTGACTAAAATACATCGAAATGCACCACAGAAAGAGTTCGCGCAGATTTGTTTTCTTTTCCAGTGGATAAATGTACGTGAATTTTGATGGATGTTATTCGTGACAGATTGTTACTAATCCCAGGAACCAGAGCTACGGAACTATGGTGAATCAAAACGTCTAAATGCTTTATCTTTGGATATACCAGTGAATAGCCATAGGGGACAGTGATATTTTGGTTCTTTTCGTGAAAATTTAGTGACACCGAATTTAAAAAGTGCCCTATTTTTATTTGCTGAGAGGCACTACACTTCCAAAAATCCACCATTTGAGGACTGCTGAGTATAAATGGAAATGTGCGCTTAAAATCCTCTGAACGGTGATTGACTCCACGTCGAAACCGTCTAGAAAAGGAAGACGTTTCCCCGCAGCCCGCGGCACATCTGATATGTAATGATGAAAAAACCAAAGTTTTTCATAGGAATCAGGAAAACCGCACTGGGCTGTGATTGGAAATCTAATCAGATATGCCTTGTTTTAGGTACACTGCGAAAAAAGGCTTAAAGAAGTTTTATCTTAAAGTCAATGAACACAATTATTTTCTCGAGACATGAAAATCCTGATTATCTTTGAGGACGAAAATTACAGTTTTATACAGTCTCCTGATTAGTTTGAAGAATGGTCGAGATCCAAGGAAAAAAATAGTGCAACCTTAAGGAAGGAACGTATGTGGCACCATGCGGGCATTCCCATGTATTATGTCTAATAATTTATTTGTTTATGAATTAATTTTGTTATTTATTGCTTGTATTAGGCTACACTATAGTATCAATTCAAATAAATGCGCATCATGAAATTAATTTACACTTAATGTCGCTTAAGGAAAATGTAAGGCTAAATCGAAGATTACATCCCATCGGCTTTCCCTCCCCGACAAAAATGTCAGTTAAATGGTATTAGTGGGAGTTGAATATGTATATATACATACATATTTTTCCTTTTGAAATTTCTTGATTGCTAAAGTACTTTGACAGTCGAATCATTAATTTTACCGGAAAGGGAAGGAATCGTTAGGGCATATGCAATTTTCTGCGGAGGTCGCTTGAAATGCGTTTATTAACGCGGTATTCAGTGGGATCCTGCTAAATTGTTGGTAAATCACGGATGGATTTCCTTCGCCGTTATCCAGGAAGGCTGTTGATGCGGTGCCTGTGGATTTCTCCATATGACTGCTTGCTGCACACATCTTCAAAGATAACCAGTGAGTCCTACCGAACCCATTTATTATTTGTTTTTCATATCAATGACCGCACCTTATCTTCAGGTCTGTAGTATTTTATTACAGTGTGGATGACAATTTTATATAAGAATATGTTGTTTTAATCAGCACTTTCTTCCCAGCTCCAGCATTTGTAATAACGCATTTGAATAACGTTTATTTAGGAAAATAAATCGATATGCATGCACAGTCTGATCTTTGTAAATTATTATTAATAAATTCGTCTCAACCGAGCGGTTCCTTAACATGGATAACGGGGGTGAGGCCGTTATTGGCCAGTATAATAAGAAAATAGGATTAGTCCAATACAATTAAACTTGTGCAATATCATAATTGATTTTAAATACCCGACGACAGTAAATGTAATATTAATGAGAGAACAAAAAAGTAATTATTCATAGTCCTTGGCGCATCAAGAGCAGCTGAGACTGCCACATAATTATACACGTCTGAAACTTTGTCAGTCATGACTGGGTTATTTTTAAAACAGTTAGGTATTTATCATGCTATTTCGCTTTAATGAGATGTTGCAACAAGATAGAATCAAATCTGGCCACCGACATTGCTCTACAAATGCCTATCTTCCTAGACAGTATCGTACAAGGACTGCATAACAAAGGCTGAAATATGGTGGGAAGTGTGGAAACCTTAGCACTTGTTGAAAACTCAGGCAAACCGAAAGGTTATGAACAATGTCAGTGGACTGACGAGTGGGATTTCACTGAAGAGCTCTGCTGAAATGCCTCTGTTTTGGGTCCCAGAGGTGCTTCTGACTGAAGTCATACATACGCAGTTTGTAAAGGGAAGATTCTGGAAAATTATGTCGGCCTAACAGAATAAACATGTAACTGCAGAAACCTTTTAGCTACCTGCCTATACATACAGTCAATGTTTTCAGCTGGTACTTTTTCACTTGTTACATTGGTTGTTTTCCTAAGTTTCAGCACTATATTTTGAAGCTATTCATTTTAGCTTGTTACAGTTTTTATTTTTTTACATTCTTCTATCTATCTATCTATCTATCTATCTATCTATCTATCTATCTATCTATCTATCTAAAGTTATCTGCCCAGTCGTTCTATTTTAGATAGTAAAACTGCAACAACATTTCTATTTACAGTTTCCTTTTTGTGAAATATTTTTAAATCAAATTTTTACAATGTATAATTTTTTATCCATAGGCTGTTTATATTTTATAGCGGAAATTATTTGGCGTGATTCAGGGTCAGATCATAAGGAAAGGTGATGAGACCCCTTCCCCCCACCCTCTGGATGTGCTGGTTCTGAAGTCATTTTTATATGATTCAAAGAGTGCTTGGTTCTCTATAAACACTTCTATAATTAGTACGGAAAAACAAAGGCCGTATTGTGACACATTTGGTCATCCTAAATAGAGCAGGTAAGTGTTACTCATTCTTATGTGCTTTCATGTTCCCAGCAGGGATAAAATAACCCAGCTCTTGGGTCTCCTATGAGGGTGATTTGGCATCTGTACTGGTGATTGGTCATGTATAAGTTTCAGTCATGTTTTATGGATAAGGCCCAAAGGGAGATGTTATCAGAATCGAGCCATTTGCATTTTTATATTGTGTACAGTCATTATACTGTAAAAGAAGAAGAAGAAAAACCTCTGTTGAACTATGCCATTCTTTATTCAGGGTGGAATAAGTGTTATCCTGATTAGGCAATAGGAGAAGTTGCAAAACTGTAAAATGTAAACAACATGTTTGGTTCAGTTCAAAGAGGGAAAATAGTTCATTGTTTTTATCATGCAATTAGACATATGCCTGCACACTGCCATACCAGAAATAGTTTTTCTAAGCTAATTAAAGTTATTCCCTGAGCCAGGATACAGAGCTAGTAAGGGTTTGGTTTAAAGGAAAATAAATTACAACAAACATATTGGCTTGACAAACTAAGGGATACTATTAATGCATTGTAAGGAGAAGTTCAACAAATTATGATTGGAGTTAAATGCTAAAAATGTTAAATGAAATGTCAAAATCTTACATAAAAAAATTGAAAACCTGTGTTTTGGAATGTTTAAAGAGGATTTTAAGGCAAAAAAAAAAAAAAGATTGAATCAGATTGTTACAGTCTTTGGCTTTTGAAAATTAAAACATGAGAAGAAGAAAGGGTACTGCACATTCATATACAATGGCAGAGCCTGGAAATTATTTCAGTGTACCTTAAGTGAATGGTTTCTCTGACATAAAGTCCCTGAGAACCTGATTTTGTGTCTGTGGAATATTAAATTGTGTAGTATTTGCGTGTTGAGACTGTGCACACCAGATACTGTACTGGGCTGAACTGAAATTCTTCCCCAAGCCTATGAATGCTTGATTTGTTGTCTGTGTCTTCTGTGTCTCTTAAAGTTCCGGTGTTCCATGCAGCTTCAAGGATAACCAGTGAGGTCAGGTGCTACTCAGGTGCCGATTGAGCCAATGATTAGAGGTCACTTGCGTCACCTTCCCCACCATTTCCACTCCATAATTACCTTTCTGTAAAACTCAGCATATTTTACCACAGAGGTTAGGAGAATGCTATAGTGGTGGCAGCAACTTGTGTAGGTCATCAGGGAAGTGAAAGTATGAATGGAATGGTTCAAGTTTGAAAGAAGGCTTCCTTGTTCTGGCTGCATATTGCTCCATAGAAATGCAATTTCATTTCACATGTGTGAAATGACAATAAAGTGACTTGACTTGACTTGAAGAAGCATCAGTTATTGGTTATTTAAAGTGGAGGCAAAATTCTTAAATTGCACTATGTATTTTTTTGTGCACTTGTCTTACACCATTCTACCACTGTTGCACTGTATGTTTTGTATTAATTAGTTGTGCTTTATGTATCATTGCACTAGGGCTTCAGCTATCTATTACCTTTATAATCAAATATTTTGTTGATTATTTTACAGTTAATTTGGTAATTGGATAAAATAAGTATTTTGTTCAAGTTTCAGAATAAATGAAAGAACTTATGCCAACCAGGTCTTTGAATACACGAACAGTGGTTTTCATGTCATGAAAAACACAATTTTATTTAATAAATTTGCAAATTCAGTCAAACAGAATATTTTGCAATGCACTCTTGTTCAGTATATTAACTGCCATATTGTATCTGTATATACTGCTATGGTAAACATTTATGAAAAATTCAGAAAATAAAAAGTGAACACACAGATGGCACATGAGCATGTACAAAATGCTCCTAAAGACTGTGGTTTACTGAAAAAGATAAAAAAAAATGTACACCTATTTAGTCTCTTTTGTTGGTTGTGGTCAGCTAAAGCCAGTAACACTTTTAGAAAGTAGTACTGAAACTTATGTTCTGCCTAACTAACCCTCCTGTCTCCTCCTTCATATGGCCTGATGCTTGTTGCCCTTCGTTAATCTTTGTATATAAATTCTTGTTTTTCTCGTCATCCCCAGTCCAGTTGTTAATGTCACTCCTCTTGTCAGCTCGTGTCCTTCCTCGTGGTAGTCCTCTCATTTTGATCCCTCATGGGCCTGTTTATTTCCAGTCTCTGATAGGTTTACTTCAATAAAACCAGTTTTGGTTTGTCAAAACTCCTGTCTCGAGTCCTTAGTCTCAAAAGTTGTGGCAGAATGACGGGACTCTCAAAAACTCCTGCCAGCCTATACTTCTGCTCTGGCTTCCATGCCTCCCTGCACCTGCCAGACTGGATACCCTGGGTTCCTTGGATCCTGGGACCAAAGGGTGTTACCAACATCATGGGCACCATTTCATCTCCCTCCTGAAGGCCCATCAAGAGTGGAGGAGTAATCCCATGGTCTGGAGGATTTCCGAGGCTAATGTTCTCTTCCAGTATGCAGGGGAGGTGTTGGTAAGACATGGATCCCAGGGAGGCAGAGATGGTTTGGTGCTTGCTGGTGGAAATGCTGGAGATAGGCGAACACAAGACTGCTCAGCCTGCCACCTCTTCACTGCCTGATGCTAGTCAGCATGTCGCTTCTGCAGAGCCTGCTGTGGTCCCACTGTACACTGCTTCTCCATAGGTCACTTTGGTCCTGCCACACACTGCTTCTCCAGAGCCCAACATTTCCCAGCGAAGTGAATTCACCCTCTTCGTCTGTCCCCTGCCACTCAATTCGGCTCACCCCACTGGCTTCCTGCAGCTCCCTACAGCCCAGCTCGCTGGCACCCAACAGCTTGCCAAAGTTCTGCTGTCCATCTCTGGCTGCAGTAGAAAGAAGCGGAGGCCTTCTGTGCCTGTTGCTGTCCTCTCATCTGACCCAGCATCTCCAGAGTCCAGCCCAGGAGGGGCCACCACTCCACCCAGTTATCAAAAGTCCACCCCAAAAGTTTCAAGATAAACAGTCCACCCCTGTTTATCTTGAGTCTTCAGAGTCATACCCAGGAAATGCTGAAGTTCTTCCCAAACCTCCAGAACCTGGCCCGGCAGGGGCCGTCTGCCGCACCTCCAGAACTCATCTTCGCCTCTGCTGCACCTTCAGAACCCTCATATTTGCCTCAGCTACGTCCCTGGAGGCCATGCTCCAGGCCCCTGGCCCAGAAAGGGCCTCACCACCTGTGCTCCAGGCTCCTGGCCCAGAGAGGGCTGCTCCTCTTGTGCTCCAGGTGCTCAGCCCAGAGAAGAAGGTTTCACCTGTGTCCCAGGCTCCTGGCCCAAGAAGGGCTACATTGCACATGCCTGGCCCCGTGGCAGCCATGCCATCTGAACCTTCGCCCTGCTCACCTCCAGCTGTCCTGGCTTCACTGTGCTCACTGCCAGGTGTCTCAGTTGCACCTTGCGCACCTCCAGGTGTCCTGTCTGCATCTTGCCCGCCTCCACATGTCCCGGCCTCTGCTCGCTTCCAGGTGTCTCTGCCTCGCCCCACTCGCCTTCAGGTGTCTCTGCCTCGCCCCACTCGCCTTCAGGTGTCCCGGCCTCGCTCTGCTCGCTTCCAGGTATCTCTGCCTCACTCTGCTCGCTTCCAGGTGTCTCTGCCTTGTCCCACTCA